TTCATTCGGAAATCAATCACTTCTAAGGTCATTGCAATTCTTCATATCACCACCTTGGATCAGATTGCCGACATATTCACCAAGGCTTTATCTAAAACCCATTTTTCCTTGCTTTGTTCCAAGTTGATGGTTTGCTCTCCACCCTCAACTTGCGGAGCAGTGACAGAAGATGATACTTCTGCAATAGTAACTCCACTCCTCCACTTCATTGCATAATTTCTATGTTAAAGGAGTATGCTCTCGCCGCCAACTTCTACTACAGCAGACTGGAAACTGTACTGGTTTCATCTCGACCATTCATCACAGATTAGCATAGAGCAATTTTTGTAATATTCTTGTTGACTGTAACGGCCACCTCACGACCGAAGCCACCGACTAAAAGCCCCAAACGATGCGACGTTTCAATCACCGCCTCTCTCACGGCATAAAAACACTTCTCTCGGACGGTTACGCAGGCACATTCTCGCTCTCAGACGGGAAGAAAGACACGCACAAAGACTCTGAAAATAAAAGAAATTGCAAGAGAGAAAGGGGTTTGCGACTTATCTCTTCCTCCGACGTCGATCTAGCATATGACTTTCGACCGGCCTCATCCGCCGCTCCTAACCTCCGGCTCGACGTCTAAAGCCAACGACCGCCGCAGCCTTTGTCTTCCGCCATCGTGCCCTAGCCGCACTGAAGCCGAAGCTCGTCGAACCCTCCTCCGATCGCCGTAGCCGACCCAACGCCGAAGCCATCAAGCCGCCCACGAAGCTTGTTCCGACCCCGACAGCCGCCGCCTTCGCCGGCCGACCTCAGCCTCCGCCTGCTCCGGCCGATTGTTCCGACCCCGACAGCCGCCGCCTTCGCCGGCCGACCTCAGCCTCCGCCTGCTCCGGCCGATTCCGCGCGTGCGTGCCTCCGACCCAAGCCCGACCCCTGGCTTTGTCCGTCTCTGGCTTCTTCCCGATCCTTCCTTTCTCTTTTTATATTATTTATATATATATATTTTACAGATTTCTTACATGATATATTATATAATATATTATGTTATATATATATAATATAATAAAATAAAAGAAAGAGAGAAAGAGAGATGAAGAGAAATAAAAGAAATTTTCAACAGGTGTCGAAGACCCCGGCCGTCGTACCTTAGGTCCGACCGGGATGGTTTCTATATACAAGTCTATTCTCCACCATATTCCCATCGATTCAACCACATATCCTCAATCTTGATTTGTGTCACTCCATTTGGACAACACTTGAGCGTCGAGTTTTTGTTATTCAACTCAAAAATGAACTCCACATGCTTACGATGAAGAATCAATCAACGAATGATTTCCTTTCTATTGTTAAATGTCTTGTTGACAATATTGTTGTTGATGTCGATACTAAGGGTATAATCATTTACATTCTTAAAGGGCTTTTAGCGAATTACCAAGCTTTTAAAACTGTCATTAGAACCAAACTCACCCATACAAGTTTGGATGAACTCTACTCTCTTTTAATCAATAAGGAAGTTAACCTTGCCAACAATGAAGCCAAAGACCCCTCTCTCTCTAAGATTCATTCATTACCATTGATCCCTAGTTTGCTCTTACATCAACCAGAGATCATGGAAGTGGTCGCACCTTCTACTATATTCATGGCTATAGGCGTTTCAATAACTCCATCCTGTCCAACCAAGGGGCAAAAATATGCGTTCATCTATCGAATGCCACATTTGTGGCAAAAGAGGTTGTTTCGCCTTCCACTGTTGACATCGCTCAAACCTTTAATTCACCCCTTGAGCCAACAACAATATCACCAACCATGCTCAACATCCTGATAATCCTCACTCTACTTCTCCTTGGTACCTCAACAGTGAAGCTATTGCACATCTCACGCCTGATATCCATACACTTCACCATGCAACTCCTTATTAAGTTTCTGACCAAGTTCGGGCGGAAAATGGTAACTTGTTATTGATCATTCACTCTGAAAAAGATCTTTTACCTACACCTGTTTGTATGCTCTCCTTAACCCATCTTCTCCACATTCCTAACCTCACTCATAATTTGCTTTGTATTTCCAAGCTCACTGTCGCTAATAACTATTCTATTTCCTTTGATGATTCTGGCTTTGAAATTAAGGATCAGAAGACACATCAACTTCTTCTTCAAGGCCCTCGCTATAGGTATTTACCAAATTTCTATTCATCCAGTGCCTTCTTCAACATGCATTTGTCGCCTTCACATCTATTACATCTTCAATTTTATGGCACAAACGACTTGGCCATCCCATCTCCTCCACACTTTATATTATAGCAAATTCTTTTCCTCAAATATGTATTTTTACTTCTAATATACTTTTTAACTCATGTGCTCTTGCTAAGAGTCACAAATTACCTTTTAATAAATCTATAAATGTTTCTACTATTACACTTGAACTTATTCATGACCATGTTTGGGGTCCATTCCCCATTGTTTCCAATAATGATTTTTGCTACTATATCATGTTTGTGGATGACTTCACACGCTTTTCTTGGCTCTTTCCAATTAAAAACAAATCAGTTACTATCAATATTTTCTTTTAATTCAAATCTTTTGTTGAAAAATATTCCAAACAAACTGATTTGTACTCTTCAAATAGATGGTGATGGTGAATTTCTAAATAACACTCTTAAAATCTTTCTCAACAACCATGTCATCCATCACCAGTAAACATGTTCGCATACTCCCAAATAAAATGGTATTGCTAAATGCAAACATCATCACTTTCTTGATACTATTTGTTCCTTACTTATTGATGCTAAATTGTCAGCATATATATTTTGGGAGGAAGCTTTGTTGAGTGTCATTTATCTCATTAATAGGCTTCCATCTCCTACCACAATCAACATATCTCCTTTTTTAATTGCTTTACAAAATTCCTCATGCATACTCGTGCTACCCATGGCTTCATCCCTACACACTACACAAATTTGCACCTCGCTCTACTTTTTTTTTATTGGCTACACAACATCCTAAAAAGGCTATAAATGTTAAAACCCTGCCATTGATCGTATCATTGTTTCACGCCACATCAAATTCGATGAATCAAACACTCTTTCCCAATCTCCACCTCTCGGCTCACACATCTCTCCAACTCCACTACTGTAACTCCACCCTTCCTAGCCTCAAATATGCCCAACAATCCAAACTCACACAGCCCACTAGCTCCACCTCCCAACCATCAATTTCTTTTAAATTCAACAACACCTATTGCATACTCTTCTTCCAATTATTCTTCATCCACCTCACAAAATGCTTCTAATTCCATTTCTCCCACTCCACCTGTGAAACCCAAGTAAAAGAAGCTAAATTCTTAAACATCTAGGCACCTTTTGGTATAATGGTTAAAATTTCATTAAGAAACTCCATAATTAAGTGTAATTATCTAGAAAAAATTCTTGGATGGGTGACCTACTAAAAAGTTACACCAAAAGGACAAAACTATGAGGCCCTTAGGCCAAAGCTAACAATATCTCGATAGCTAAAACTTTGAACTATAAAAAATGATATCAGATAATACACCGGCTAGAAAATGAGAACTAACTGTCATACAAGAAAAAGTGCTACGCCTTGGGAGCCACCTCTTAAACCTTATATGGAACAAAGTGCTATATGATGGGTGTCACACTAGCTTGAACTTGTAGGGGCCACCTCTAGAATCCTAAATGCATGGTGGATGATTCTGAGATAAAGATGCTAATGAGGATGTTTGTTACTTAAGTGGAAGAGATTGTGAACCCCTTTAAGTAAAAGAATATAAACTCTTAAATATCGACGTGCCTTTTGGTGTAGTGGTTGCAATTTCATCAAGAAATTCCATAGATAAGCGTGTTAATCCAAGAGCAATTCTGTGATGGATGTCATACTGGGAAGTTACACCAACAGGACAAAGTCATGAGGCTCTTAGGTCAAAGAAGACAATATCTCGATAATTAAGAATTTGGGCTATTACAACACCCCACGTCATCTAATGATAACTCATCCTCATACTGACTCAATTAAACTTTGTAATATACTTGATCTCCACCACCATATTATCCCCACACTAGCCTACTATTCCTCTACCATTAAACAACCTAAATGGTGACAAGCTATATCTATAGACTTTCATGCCCTCTAATCTCAAGGAACATGGACTCTAATGCCACCTCAACAAAATAAAAATGTCATCGATTACAAATGGATATTCAAGCTCAAGCGTAATTCTACGTACCGGCTCAATTGCTCGTTACAAAGCAAGACTTGTAGCCCTAGGCTACAACAAGAATATGGCCTTAATTAATTTGAAACTTTAAGCCTGGTAGCCTCATTGTTGTAGCACTTCATTTTAATTGGCCAATTTTACAATTAGATGTTGTTATTGCATTTCTACATGGTCATTTACATGAAACTGTTTTCATGTTTCAAGCACAAGCTTTCAAGATCCGCAACACCCTTATTATGTTTGCCTACTTAAGAAGGCTATTTATGTCCTCAAACAAGCCCCTCACCAATGGTTTGCCACACTCCTTTTCTCACACAACAAGGTTTTCATCATAGCTCTGCTGCCTCATCCTTACTAATTTATAATAGTTTAACAATCACTATTTATAATTGTTGCTTTACCTTCCTAAGTATGTGTATACTGCAATTTTGTAAATGGGATGGAAAATTAGTAAAAATTCTCTCTCAACTTTACTCAAAACTTCCTCTTTGATCTTTAAATACAGCTTAAATTTTAGACATTCTACTGCTGCTAGATAGAAATAATTAAAAATTAATTTTATAATTAATATAAAACTAGATATAATAGTAATTAAATCATGTCAATTTTGATGAAAAATTATAGTTATTTTTTGTTTATTAGCAATCTCTACATTTTGTAGGCTGATATTTTTAGCTTCCAACCATATGATCCTTTGCAACATTTGACAATATAAATTTTATTGATACTATTAAAATTTTATAGTTTTAAAACTAGTTTTTTTAGATACTATTAAATTTTATAGATACTATTAAAATTTACATCACTACTCTAGTTTCCAACACCATAATCATGAATCACTTTGAGTCCTTTCAGTTTTCTCCTACATGGTGGAGGAGCCACCAGCCTCCACAGCAGCCCTCCACTAAAGCACAAATACACTAACTAAACGATACAATCTCACTTACTATACTGCAATCTTCATTTCTGAATCCCTCATTTCGAAACAAATCCTGATAAACTTTTTATTTACAGATGCAGAGAAGTAGATCCGAGTTGCACTATAGCACCCACAGAGCAAGCCCTTCTTCTTCTATTCAGGGCGTTGCACTATCTTTAGTTACACTAGCTTCTATGTCTTTTGCATCTGAGCTTTGTGTCCTATGATGTGAGCACTGCTTCTTTCTCCATTTTGGTCTCTTATATGTAATGGCTATGGCGATATCATTGGGGAAGAGGTTATGGAACACAAATGCATGGAGGATAGTGGAGATCAGAAGAGCTAATACTGTGAGTGTGGAGATGGTTGATAGTGTAATAGCCAGAGTCTTTGTGAGGACATTACTGACTTCAGCAGTGTATGTTATTGTTGCAATGGCAGCTCCAGTCGTTGGAAATGTGTATGCCCACCAAGCTAGTGAGAACCTGCATTAAAAAGAATTACAGGGCAAATGTTAAGTGATGGATTATTCATGTTTTTTGAGTGAAATTGAAGGGGGATGGCGTTGCTTAAATCTACCTGAATCCTCTGAAGAAGTTGATGCGAACAGCCTGCAAAATGTGTACAGAGGTTAGGAAGTGGTTGTTTGAAGGATGATTGAGGACTATAGTATCATTAATTAATTGATAAGCACTCACTGAGCTATGTTGCACCGATACACCTATTTATGAAGGCGTGCTGTATCGAGTACCTGTCGGACACGGATACGCGTCTGATACGGCACCAATACGTGCGAATATGTCAAAGATTCCAAAATTTTGGGAAGCAAAAGATTCCAAAATTTTGTTTCAGCTTCAGAAAAGTTGGAAGGGATAATTTGCATCATAAATTATTGTTGAATTCCAAAATTACTGTGGAACAAAGTTTGAATTATTTGATAGATTTACAAAAACAATTTTTATATGTTAGATTATGTTTTTTCATTAATTTTTTTTTTTTAATGTTGAGTGTTAAAGTATGAATAAAATGTTAGCAGGATTCAATTTTAGCATCATAATAAAAAATTTTAAAAAAAATCTTTATCAACTAAGCTAGCTGACAACTTCTTAAATATAATATTCTCTTGTTCTCGTTTATTAAACTATTATGGAACTTGATTCTGATGATTGTAAAAGAAATTGTCAGTGCTATATATTTTCTAATTGATTATACTCAATCCATGATTTTCAGTCAAAACAGAATCACCAACTTCAGTAATATATTAAGTTTTTCTTAGAATCACCGACATGTAAGAAAAAACTGAGCAGCGAGAGAGGAACTTACAAGAGAAACATAGAGAAACATCGCAATGAAATAGGCTATCCTTGAACCCAGATCAAAGTTGCCTGTAATCTTTGCCCATGACATGCAAGCAACACTGGGAGCAGCTATAAACAAAAAGAAGACCGGGTGAAGCTCCTTGGGAAGTGTTTCATTCGTTGGAAGCCTCTGATATAGAGTTACAAATAGCACAATGTAGTGTGCTAAACCAACTGCAAAGAAAAATACAGGCCCTTCTTTGAGCCCCATAGAAGCTCCTAGCAAAGCACCAACAAAGTTCCCCACTATGGACAAATGATTAGAAGGATTTGCAACCTTTGAAAGCCTTCTTTGACCTCCTGACATCCACTGGCCATATATTTTCAATTCAAGACACAATATTGGAGCCATGAGGACATACCACAGGGAAGAATGGAGGTTCTTTGTGACCTGTGGTGGAACACCAATGGCCAAGAAAAGACAGGCGATCCATGGAGCAAAGAAGAAGTTGACTCTGACAGGATGGTAGTACTCCCTTCTTACCGTTTCAAAGAAAAATATTATCTTTAGCAAATAGATGGTTGCCACCAAGCATATTAATGCAAGTGCGATGCACCAGAGGACCAAATTAACATCCGGGCTTACATTCAGGAAGCTCAACGATGCTGATTTGGCTAATGTTTTCCACAGCATGGCTTGGCTGCTCACACCAAGGCACATACCAAAAGAAGATATAGGGAACCGGAGGAGGAAAGGCCAAGTCTTGTCTTCAGGCAGAACTAACTCTTCCTGTGCCTAACATAGCAGACGAATTGTAATTCAGCAAATCTAAGTTCATAGAGCTAGTTATAAAAGCATTATCTGAAACTACTTACCTTTAGTGTTTCCAATTCTGGTCCTTCCAAGGCATCAAAGTAGCGATCTACTGCAGGTAAAGCCTCAGCTTCTCTATCCTGGGAATCATTGATCTTGATCTGATCCTGAGGCTTTCTGCGCAGGTTTGAAAGCTGATTTTCAAGCTTCCCAGACCATGTTTTGAAGGAATTGTACTGTTCATCCTTTATTGACAAAACCTGGTCCAATTTTTTGGCAGATGTGAACCCAACGTGCATCGGTTGAGAGTGGAACTTTGCATGTTTCATTACTGGCAGAATGGAAGAATTAGTGCATGTTGAATGCTTTAGCTTCTCATGGCTATCTTCTGTCTCAGAATTGTTGCAGAATATGTCTATTTTAGACCGGTCAATGTACATAGCAGAGGGTGAAGCTGGCAAGCTAATTGAAACAGAATGTGAACGATTATGGCCTTCAGTTGCTGGAAGTGTTGGGCTGCCAACAGTAGCAGGGTTGTTACTGTTATATGCAACCTCAGTCCCCTATAATCACACATAGGAGCACTAAAAGAATTAGATACTTGATAAAACCATGTTATAGAATTCACAAGTTCTTAGGCCTTAGAATCTGACAGAAGCACTGTACAGATTCATAACCAGGGAACTTCTCGAAGAACTTCTAATTAAAATACAATCTGAAAGACATTTCTATACTTACATTGCAATCTCTCCGAGGACTGGAATTGGTATCAAAACCCACAACCCCTTCAGATGTTATGGAGATGAAAAGTGGTGGAAGATCTTGAGAAAAACCATCCTTAAAATATCCAAGTCCTTGCTGATTCTTCATTATGTGATGGTGGAACTGCATCATCAAACAATCACAAAAATCACACAAATCCTCTACCTCAAAAGAAGAAGAACACAGATTTCAAAAATTCAACATGAAAATGGTTCAGAAAACTGTACCAAACACCAATATTACAAGTGGTAGTGGCACAGCAGAGTCACTCAAGGCTTTAAACCACCAAGCATAAAGCAATTGAGAATCAGTCCAGCTAAGTAAGCACTAGTGATGTTCTTAGTGGAAACCACTAACAGCTTCTGACAAGAAAAAACAAATCATTTTTATGGCAAACGGGAGGATTAAAGGTTCATGATTTAAAAGTTTAGAGCATTACGTGCTTAGTTAGTTCAAAGGAATCTTTTATTTTTTATTGGAAGGGGGAGAATGAAATGCAATGATTAAAACAGCTCATCCCTGCAACTAAGCTATAATCATTTGTTATTGATTTGGTAGACAAAGTAGCTACGTTATTAGCCGTTGGGTTAAATCAAAAGTATTCTTCTTCACTACCCGTTATTTCGTTCGCGTGAACAGGTTTCGTCTCTGTCTGGCGTCTCCATCCCTGTTTGTTAACTCGACGCCTATGAGGACTACAATTGTGAGCCCAAGTTCATAATTTTCCGTTTTCTTCCGAAGCCTAAATATGTTTGCTTATTATCACTCATCTGATTTAGACTTTGTATGGCAAAAGATTTTGCTCTTTCAAAAATTTTCATTCATTTTAACAACATAAAGAGTAACTGTAGATACAGAGAAGAATCCACGAACTTCCTTCTATTGACCGATGCATTTAACAATTTCTGATTTGAAGTGGCCTAGTCTTATTATGCTAATTTTATTATTTTTAATAAAATTAGTATTTATTATATCATCTGATTCATCCTGATCGAATCAGCAGATCATAAATCTCCCTTTTCTTCCTATTAGTTTTCTGGGTCAACCTTGCTTTTTAGAAAAAAATGATTCAGAATAAAAAAAACAAAAGCTGCTTATTGTTGTTTCTTCCTGCTCCAACTCCTATTTATTAAATCAATAAAAAACAAAACAATTTCTTAATTTTACATAAATTTCTAAGAATCCACGTCTAGAACTTTTCTTCTATGAAATTTCTGGATACAAAAAATTCAATGGTCAATTTTGTTTTACTATTTCTCTGGAGAAGAGAAGAAAAATCAAAATTTAATATGCAGACTAGAAAAATATAAAATTAAGAGTAAAAAAATGCATTCACAGTAGATACTAAGGCTTTGTTTGGGACATCTTTTGACCACTGCATTTTCATTACTTTCAATAAAATTTTATGTTAAAAAATTGCTTTAAAAAGCAATAAAAAAGTCATCCTAAATGAAGCATAAGCCTCTTTTCACTTAACTTCGCCTCATATATGAAGCATAGACCTAAGGACATCATAAACAGATTTCTTCACTTCTTTCTCTTCCAACACTTGAATTATAGCTTTGTTCTTGCAAAATTTAAAGAATGTCATGACGATTTTTCAGTTAGTTTTTAGGCAACATTCTTGTTGCTTCTTAAAACAGCTTTTTAAGTACAAAAATTCTGCTTTAAGAAGCAACAAAAAAGTTGTGTCAACGAAACCTTACTGCCATTCAGGAGCTGTTTGGCTACAAGTAGGATTTGCTAAATTTTGTAAATCCATATTCAGTAGAATTTGTGAGAACTAAAACGTAAAAATCATTAAAATCATTTGGCATAACAACTATAAAATACTGAATCTGTTCTAAATGAAGAAATATGTTCTTCGTTTACTGTAAGTTTCTTTCATTACATGTTATCATCACTGCGCAAAGAAATTCTAAATGAAGAGAAGGATCACTGAAGCAGTTAATTCAAACAAATCATGCATCTCTTTTAGAAGGAAAGAATCTCACAATCAAATCCATGAACCAGTTTTTTTTTTTGCAGAAGAAATAGCGAGGTGGCTTGTCATAGAAGTAGCAAAAAGGATAATGGAAAGGATACAATGATGAGGAAGATACCAAATGTTGCAGAAAGCTGGGTTCTACCTGATATCTTGTCTTCACCTCTTTTCTTTTTATAAAGGAGCCAATGAGTTGATGCGACTGGTTTCCTTTGCTGCATAAGAGCTAAATTACTAAAAGGTTCAATTTATAGATGAAGAAGAGAGAAAAAACCCAATGATGTCCATACGTGAGATCAACCAGAATGTATCATGTCACCTCTTTGTTCGGTATCGTGGCTCGGTACTGCTGATGTGGATGCACCTGATTCGTCTTCGGACATAGAGTTGCGTCCGGCGTTTTCTCCCATTCAGTTTGGTTGGATACAAGTTTGCCTCATAATTAATTCAAAATCCGAACCGTTTATCATATAGGTCCAAATATTCGACCCAGGCTTGGCTTGATCCAAATTAGCCTACACGATCGACCCATTTATTATAAAGCATAAACTTTTTTATATCGACAAGACCCATTTAATGCAACCACAATAAGTTTAACCTAAATTTGAATGATAATTGGATAAGTTTTTGATTTTTTAGGCCAATCAGATTATGACTTTAGACTCGAACCTAACTTATGTTTCATTTGGGACAGCTTTTTTACTATTTTTTGAAGCAGCTTTTTAATACAAAAAATTTAATTTTTATACTGAAAAGTTGCTTCAATAAACAATAAAAATGATGACAACTTATGTTTCGTTTGATCAATATGAATTTTTAAGGAAGAGGTCATCCTATTTGGGCATTTAATGATCTAAGATGGCTCTTCTTCTACAGCTGCAGGTCACTTCCGTAAGTTGGCTTTTTGCAGCTGTCTACAGTCCAATTTATAGCATGAAAAAGGCCTCACCTAAATAAAATCCAATCTCAGTTACTTTATTGGTTCTTGAATTTCGTGACCTTTTGTATTCTTTTTATTATTTAATCAAATATTTAAAAAAAAACGATTAAAATTATTTATGATTAAAAATATTTTTTTTTTTCATTTTTTATAAAACAGGTTTTAAATTTTTTATCACATCATTGATGATATATTTCTTTCAAAAAAAAAAAAAGAAAAAAATGCTTACAAATATATTTTTAGAAAATAATCAAATGATCTTTTGATTATTTAAGAAGGATAAAAAAGACTCTCAACTATTTAAAACTCTTATTTTAGTCCTTTGATTTTTTTTATTTAGGGACTTAAATGATCAAGTAGAATAATTAATTTGATCCATATTTAAAGACTCAAAGGACAAAATTGATACTTTTATGTAGTCTGAGATTATTTTGATCCATCAAAAAAATTAATGGTTCAATTTGATCATTTTCTCTATTTTAATTAAAAAATATGTGATTAAAAATTATTGTTTAGCTAATTTTCAAAAAATTATAACAAAATTATAGTCATTTGAATTATGCAAACGCGAAGAATAGCATTCCTTTAATAGGAAGCTCAAGGTGAAGAATGGGTTAATATTAAGGGGTTGTTTAGTTGGAGCAAAAAGGAATGCAATATACAAGAAATGCATTGCTTTTTTTTTACTTTGTGATGTTTGATTGGGCATAATGTAAAGCAAAGTGAAATACCAATGTATTAGAAATTCTCCAATGCAATTCAATTATCGCATAAAGTAAAATCGCTCGTTTTGAGATAAAAAGGAAATCACCGCATGCCTGAGAGAGAATTCCGAGAGAAGGCACTGAAGAGTTCACTTTGAGTTCATTGTAGTTTGGATCAGAAGAGGACGGTTCAACGATGTTGCCTTCCTCTTGGATCGGAAGGAACGAAAGAGCTTCAACAACATTCCCTTCCTCTTGGATCATAAGGCACAGAAGAGCTCGCTCACAGACATTCCCTTCATCTCTGATAGGAAGGCACGAAAGAGCTTCGACGACATTACCTTCCTCTCGGATCGAAAGCCATGGAAGAACTAACTCCCAAATGTTCTATTCCTCATCGATCTCTGGCAATGAAGGTAATTATATTTCTCCCTTCCTTGTGCTTCTTTGGAAAAATCCCATAACTCTCTCGCATCTTCGGCAAAATCCCGTAAATCCTAGCATCTTCCACGTGCTTCTTTGGCGAACTCCCATAATTCCTCCATGGCTGTCAATGGAGGAGAGAATGGAGCTCATAATATATTAATTTTACTTTATTCTGCATATACCCAAGCAAACAGAAAAATTAATAATATAGTAATAAGATTACTTTGGGACCAAATTTAAAAGTTGTCATCATCACCCTTTAAAGAGCGAGCAGTAGACTTGTATTTAGATTATCATGTAGCCTGCTTGACCAACAAATTTTGATTTTTTTTTTTTTTGGAACATTTAGGGCAATTAAAACAAATTCAAGCAATATGTAAGCTTTGAACCTAAGACCTTTTGGCTTATAACCAAAGCTTCCAATTAACGGATCAAGGTGAGTTGCATAATTCATAAAACTAAAAATTATCTCTCTTTTTTTTTTCTAGAGAGATTTTAGTTTGTTTTTTTAGCTTTTAATTTTATTTTATGTATTTTGTATGTAAAATATGTAAAAATTATTCTATATCATACTTAGCTTCTACTTAAATATTCGTTAAGGCTTAAAGGTCGTATTGCAATTCAATGAGTGTTGAACATTGTGGTGGAGCTAGGACATGGAAGAGGAGAGTGCCACTTGGACTGACATAACTCTCTCTCTCTCTCTCTCTCTCTCTCTCTCTCTCTCTCTCTCTCTCTCTCTCTCACACACACACACACACACGTGAATGTTGTAGTTCCACACCATTTCCTCCCACAATGAACCTCGATATCTCATGTACTCCCTGGTCGCCTCTTTTCTTTATTTTAAGGGGAGAGGAGAGCTAGTGCATCAAGTATTATTTCATTCATAGTCATCAATCCTTCTCCCAGTTTGCATCCCCCTTCACTTCAAAGAAACCTCTCATATCACCTCCTTCATCAATTCATGGATGATAGTAGAGAAATCTCCTCATCTTTTCCCTTGATTGATAGATTCAGAGTGACAACATTAAGCCTCTTCATCTTCTCCTTCTTTACCTTTATAAAGAAGAGTATGCTTGAACATCGATGAATAATAGTTATTCTTCTCTAGATGAGTAGTAATATAAAACATCAAATTAATAAAAATCAATTGAAACACTTAGGTGTTGTTAAACAACTCAAACATCATACAAGATTTGTGTTAGATATTGTTATAGGTGTATAGATTGTTGTATGAGGGACAACTGTAAAAGTGCCCATGAATAAAGGAATATAAAATTCCTATACAAGTTCTCTCCCACTCCTCCCTCCCCATCTCTCTCTTCCAAGAAGCTCAAGAAGAGTTATCCTCCTTCCTGAAAACATAACAAGTGATATCAGAGCTTCGTTGAGAAAATATTATGGAAGGAAGAAGGTGATCTTATAATCAAGAAAGGGAGAGAGGAGGTACGGCATGCACAGAGCGACATGGTGCCTTGATCGAATAGAGCGGCTTCATTCGGCCAGGCCGAACACACGGGCAAGGCATTCGGGCCCAAGCGGCCTAGATCATGCAGAGACGGGTGTTCAAGAGCTACGTGCAAAAAATGGAGTCTGGCTGGTGGTCTAGGTTAACAAACAAGAGGCTCGCATGCAAGCCAGCATGGGTGTTCGGAGAAGAGCTAACAAGTAGGAGAGGGGATTGGTTGGTGTCGTCCGCGGGTGTCGTTGATGGGTGAGTATGGGTTGCCATGGGTAGATGCACGAGCAGGGCAGTGGAGTCGGGTCAACGTGATAATTCTCGCACGCAAGGAGGTGAAGGGTCAGGCTATGCAAGTTGTGTTGGGTACTGGAGCCGGAGTGGAAAGGCGAGCCTAACAGACGGACGGGCTCGTGAGTGGTGGGATCACAATCGATTGGTTTGGCACATAAGTGGGAGTACAAGCAAGTTTTGAATCTTGATGCGGTGAAACTTAAGTGTGGCCACTTAAACGCAGTAGGTAAGATGCAGATCATGACATCAAGCAAGATCAGGTCGAATCGCAATAAGCATATGGGCTATGAGATCTTAACTACCAGGCAAACCATTTTTATGGAGGTATCATTTCGGGCTGGTAGAAGCGGATTCTTGCGGATGGGAGCGAAGTGTGATTGGGACACAGGCACGAATCGCTGATTACTCAAGAAGGAGGCAACTATGAAACTCTCAGTTTAGGCAGGCTGCAGAAGACGTGTTGGCGCTCGATATAATAGGTGGTGGCTATCGATCCAGAGAAACATGTGGAGGTGTTGTTACTGGGCTCGAGTAAATCAATGGAGATATTGTTGCTATCGTCAAAGAAGACAACATTTTGTTGTTGTTTGTTCAAGAAATCAGTAAAGGTCTGAATGACAGGTTCGCACAAGCACGGGAGCTAGCGCAGCACAAGACACAAGCGTGCAAATTTTGGGAGGAACAGTGAAGGGTGTAAGCTCACGTGGTCTAATGCTTGGGAGCGTGAGCTGGAATTCTTGATCGAAACATACAGTGAAGGTCGCACGTGAGCGGAATTTGGATTGACTCGGCAGGTTTGCTCGTTGAGTTAGTGCATAGAGCTGGTTGAATCGCTATAGTTTCGGAATCGTGGAAATATGTAGATGAGAAATAAATCGTCCAATGGTATGTTTTCTTATGTTGTTCATTGTGAACAGAAGATGCTTTCTCTATTTTGTAAAATATGGACGAAAATGGATATTGTTAGATAGAAATCCAGTAATTCTGCCATGGTTGTCAATGGAGGAGAGAATGGAGCTCATAATACATTGATTTTACTTTGCTCTGCATACATCCAACCAAATAGAAAAATTAATAATATAGTAATAAGATCAAATTTAAAAGCTTTAAGCATTATCCTTTAAAGAGCTAGCAGTAGACTTGTTTGGGCAATCTACGAGTTCATGGAAACAGGTAGAGGAGAAATAGGTTGTCCGATGAAATGTTTTCTTATGTTGTTCATTATGAATAGAAGTTACTTTCTCAGTTTTGTAAAATCTCGACCAATATGGTGATTGTTAGATATTTGTCTAGATTTAGGATATGTTTGCCT